AGACATTCTCATTGACCAAACTTTTATTTATTTACTTACTTATACCAGGAATCAAACTCAGGACCTTGTGTTTGCCAAGCAGGCACTAACCCTTGCATTTATTTATTTATGAAATCAAGTAATTTAATCCTGAAAATCACATGTAAAAATTAGCAAACAAAAATTTTTTAGAAACAATCTTAGTAAAAACATGGCAATGAAGGAGTAGAATAACCCTATCAAATATTGAAATATATCTCATTAAATAAAATAGTATAGAACTGACTGTGATACACCAATGGTTAGAGGAAATAAATAGATCAATAATAAAGTTAGTATATATGGGAATTTATAATATAAAATCAGAGAAAGAATGATACTATCACTAAGATCTGGAAAGTCATGTGATTTTTTAAAAGCTAATCGATATCTTTTACCTTTTATCCTGTTATATTTTGAATGAATCATAAATTTAATGTTTAAGAAAATGTAATTCATCCTTTAAAATGTACCCTTTTCCAGGAGCAGAAAAGATCTAAGAATCACAGTATAACGCTCATAAAATAAGATTACTAAATTCAGTTACATAGAAGTACAATTCCTGCGCTATAACAACTGAAGTAGACACAACAGTAGACAAAAAATTACCTCACATACAACAGGCTAAGGGCTTACCTTTCTAATATATAAAGAGATTCTACAAAATAAGAAAACAGGGGCTGGGAAGATGGCTCAGTGGAATAAGCACTTCCCTGGCAAGTGCAAGGGCCTGAGTTCAATCCCCGGTTCCGCCAAAAACAAAACAACAACAACAACAAAAAAAACCCAGAAAACAACAGTCTAACAGCAATATAATGACAAACCATACGAATAATTCAAAGTGGGGGGAAGTATCTCTTAAACATATATAAAGAATATAGTGTCAACACAATTTAATACTAGATATCATTTTTGCCTATTGGATTGACAGAAGTCCTAAAATTTGACAACACTATTAGACAGGATAGAAAAACTATGATAGACACTTTTGTAACTGATTGTAGGAGTACAGGCAGTTATAAACCATAGAACATTTGTATCTAAAAGTTAAAAATATGCAAATATTTGACTTAGCAATTCTGTTTCTCAGACTTTATGCTAACAGACGTATTTCTACATGTGTCAAATTTGGGCCCAGGGAGATAGCTCAGTGGCATAAGCACCTGCCTGACAAGTACAAGGCCCCGAGTTTGATCCCTGGGACTGCAAAAATAGTAATAATAATAAAATAATAATAAACAGACTCTCTAAGTGTGTTAAATTTATTAATTGCCCAACTCTTGTGTATTCGTGAATTGTCCCATTAGGGGGACACCATAACCAATACCCACAATTTGAAGGAGGGCAGGATTAATTCGGCCCATGATTCAGGGGTCTCAGTCAATGGTAAGTTGGCACCAAGGCAAAAATGTGATGGTGAGATTCTTCGTACTCCCTAATATCTGTCCTCTTTTGCTCTTTTTTTTATACTTGGGAGTTCCTCACACAAGAGAAACAATGTGATAGTTAAACTTCTGTGTCTATTTTATTTCACTTAAGATCATGGTCATGAGCAAGGAACAAGAGAAGGGGGAGGAGAAAAGGAGAAAGGAGAAGATTTTTTAGAAGCTGAAGGGAAAAATGGAAACAGCTTTTGCAGATGGGGAGAAGAAGTGTTGGAGTGAAGAGGAGAGAAAAAGACAAAAGAAGAATGAAGATGTTTTCTGTACTGGCTCCCCAGGTAAGTGAGGTCATTATGTTCTACAAACATGTACTAATGAAACAATGTGAATTTTTAAACAGAAACTTCATGGTAAAAGAACATTTTAGAAAGACATGGCAATAAAGGAAAACTGTTCACCTCTGTATACAGCTGAGATACAAAGAAAAGGGAGGAGCCATGAAGGCAGATTGCACCCCTGCCCGCTGGAGGCACAGCCCCAGGCACACGCGTCTGTCACCCCAACCGCACACCTAAACAGCACCTTCACTGTGAGCTCACAATGGATCGACCCACGATGAACATAACATCACCCTGAGCTGTCACCTTCCAAGTGCTCCATTTCTGAAAACATGAGTCATTTGAGGAGCATTCTAGATTCAAACCATCGTGTTCTGCGATAAAAATAAATGGAAACAATCAAAATAATAATACGGCACTCATTGTTTAAGACACCACGGTACTGGTCAAAGTAACAATTTCAAACATTGACTGAATATTTTTCATCTTGTTCTTTTAAGTGCGTATCACCTCTAATGGCTTATCTATTTTTTATTTTATTTATTTATTTTGTGGAACCAGGGATTGAACTCAGACCCTTGCACTTGCCAGGGAAGTGCATATTCCACTGAGCCATCTCCCCAGCCCCCGATTATTTTTATGCTCTCTTTAAAATAAATTAAAAGTAAAAAGGACGAAGAAAAAGATTAAGGTTAATTGAAAGGAAGAGTTAATGTTCAATTGTTTGAACAATCTTCCATGTCTGTATTTGGTAATCTGAGCTACAGATTTGATGGTAACAATATGTAATATAACAACCATTGTTAATTTTATATTCTTATTCTTTATTTATTTACTTATTTTCTGGAACCGGGAATTGAACTCAGGCCCATGCGCTTGCCAGGCAAGTGCTTATTCCACTGAGCCAGCTCCCCAGCCTAATTTTGTATTCTTAATTTGAAATTCTGTGCCATTTTAATTGTTGCTTTGTTTTTACCTTCCTGTTTCTTGTTTTTCTTTTTTCCCTCTTTGAAATAAAATTAAAAAAAATTAAAAACCTGCTATATAGTGCCACTCGGTAGAACACTATATAAAGAGTGGTATGAAGAAGGAAGACAGGAAAGGAACGATGACCTTCCCTGTGTGCCAACGTGGGAAATGCTCTAAAACTCCACCCTGAATTTTAAAAAGAAATGTGTTAGGGGCCAGGGACACAAGTGACACAGCACTTGTCCAGCAAGCACAAGGTCCTGAGTTCAATTCCTGAAGCCAAAAAAAAAAGGAAATATGTTAGTGTGTGTAACATGCTCTTCTTTGTACCAAATCATGGTGAATGGGACAGAAGAATGGATTGTAGCTTACAGACGTACAAAGAAATTTTGAAGATTACATAGACATGTAGAAGGTTATAGAAGGTTCTGGGTTTAGTGGTAGAGGGTAGAACAGGGCTGATGGGCTGGACAGTACTGGTAGGAGAGTGCTTGTTGTATACATTCTTAATTTTTGAAAACTATATTGCTTATTTTAACAAAGTAACTTTAAATCCCACTCTGAGGAAAGAAAAATATGTTAAGACAAAAATAACTAATTGCCTCCTAATCATGAAAGAACAGAAGAACACCTCATTAAAATGCTTATTAGAGGTAACCAAAGTTATAGTTGGAAAAGTATGAACTCATCTTTTATTTTTACCCTAAAAATTAATCAAGATCAACTCTATTACAAGTAGAAGTAGGAAAAATATAAACAAACCTTAGAGAAACATAAAAAAGGAACTAATAAAAACAAATTAAATAAGGCGACAAAACTAGCAGAATTAACAGAAAAATGATAAATGCAATACCTCATCTAGGCAGCTATCACTAGAATATGCAAACTACTGGCATGTCAATTGAAAGGGAGAGGAAAACAAATACTTGACAATATAAACACAGATGTGGACCAAATTTTTAATTATAAAAGTTGTTTTGTAGCACTATGGGAACAGATTCTTAGAACACAATGAGAGTGAGCAATTTTCAGAGAAAATGAGTTGGACAAGAATTGGAAAGTCAAAATAAACTGACACTCACAGAAGCCATATTTTTAGTGTTTGAGTAACTTTCTGCCAAGGAGCTGAGCCCAAAGAGGTTTATGAACAAGTTCTTCAAGACTTTCAAGAGGGCCAGCCAAATAGTTCAGTGGATTAAAGCATCTGCAAGCAGGCACAGGGGCCAGGGGTTGAATCCCTGGGCCTGCTGTGCCAGCCCTGCCCCCAGCGCACGCTGAGACAGCAATTGAGACTAGGTGTGGTGGCGCACACCTCTAATCCCAGCTCTTGGGAAGCTGTAAACAAGAGAATCACAAGGAGTCCTATCTAGTAGGGAGACCCTGAACACCCTGTGCACCTCTCCCTAAAATACAGAAAAAAAAAGTGACTTTCAAGTACAAATTTTCATGCTTTTTGAATTATTTGAAGATTATGGAATAAAAAAAGCTTTGCAATTTATTTTTAAATTTAATGTAACCTTTAAAACACAAAAATTGTACTTGCTTTTACTAAAATATTAGCAACATAAATACAACACATTTAAATATTTTTGCATGAGTAAAGTACACTTTAAAAATTCAAGAATGAGGAGACAACCAGGGCCTGAGGGATCCTGAACAGAACAGAGCTCAGGCCTGGCGGTGAGTGAGAGGACCTAGGCCATGGGATCCTGAACAGACCCAAGCCCTCGGGATCCTCATTGGACTCAGGCTGCAGGCCCAGCAGGGAACCCTTCAGCAGAACTCCCTGCAAAGAGGCTAGAGGCAAGACCCACCCAGCTGATTCAGGAGCAGAACATCTTGCCAGAGAGACACAAAGGGTTCAA